GATGAAATGGCTGGAAAACCTGACTCTTATCAGGCACCAGTACAAAATGTGACTGAAAATATTTCAGTATATCCCAAAATCCTCTTGCAACTCTCTTTGTGGGAAACTTCTTTGTCAGAAGAGGTGCTCAAGGACCAGGATGGAGCTGGAGATTGTCCCATTATTGATTTGCATCTGCACAAATGCACAGATTTGTATAATGTGTCGTGTTAACCAAAACCTCGCCCAGTAGGAGCGATTTTTAACTGCAGCAATTAGTTTATTAAAGCTATACATCGCATTAACCAACAGAATTTATTCCTAATGGAATAACAAGAGCTGGGTTTTACCTTTTCCCTTTATCACATGGAAAAGTCTAACCAATACAGAAGACAGAAATCTCACTTTCACATGACAGTTCCCCCCTGCCCAGGGTAGGAGCAAAGAGCCAGGGCTGTGCATAGCGAAGGGGCTGGTGGTGATGGGAACTGTCTGCAGCAGTAATTGGCAGGAGGCAGGCTTTCTTCTGGATTATTCAGAGCTGTTAACTAGAAGCCAGCCTAGGGTGAGATGAAACCATGGCATTAATTTTGGTTCAGTTTAGACCAAGACCAAATTAGCGGCCAATTAATTTTCACTGTTTGTGCACAAACACAGCTCCTCTGGTGTGTCAAAGCTTTCACCTCTGTCATCTGCTGATACCTTCTCATCAAAAAAACCTTGACAAATCTCATCATACATGGGTATTACTACTCGCTGCAGCCTGTGTGCACAAAGATGCTTTGCAATTCACATCCTATTCCTTCCTGTTTCACTAGGTTTTGAGTCTCTTCAGGCAGGACAAATAACATGTTCAAAAATTACAGTTGGTGGGTTTCATGGCTTAGCCAGAAAAGTCTGCACTCAAAATATGGCACTTAGTCCATGTGGCTATCCCGGTAAGCAATAATCATAAAAAAAGCTCTGGGGGGAAGCAGCTGGACTGACTTTTATCTTGGTTTTCTAAATTACGTGTCCTAAATCATGTTTCTAAGTTTACCCTCTGTAGAGAAAGGCAGAACTTTAGCTGGTTTTTCCCCCTCTAACTGCTTCAGCCACAAAACTTTCCACTGGTGGAACAAATTCCTTCCAAATGCCAATAAGCAGCCTCAAACTCAACATCCTCATCAGTAGCCCCATGGGGGAATCTTGCCCTACAGTGGGACCTTCGGCTGATGTTTTTTAGCCCAGTGGTACTCAGGGGAAGGAATATTTATTTCCCATTCCCCTGGGCTCCTCAGAGCCATCACTGCTATTTACAGGCTGATGAAGCTCGGCACGATGTGGACATGCACTTCTTGGGTTTTTCCACTTGCCTGAGGCACTGCAGTGATGTTGTACATCTGCCCAGCATGGCAAGCATTCCTTGATGAGAATAAAAAGTGGGGGGAGGAAAGAAGTGTCCTTAAGCTTTGCAGTCCTTGGGACAGATCTGAGCTGCGTGACTATAACTTTGGCCATTAAAATGGTGCCATGTCTGTTAACCTGGGGAAGATCAAAGAGTACAGTTGATGTTTCTTGTTCGTGAGATAATTCTTAGTCTTGTCAGCTTCCCCCTTGCTGTGATGCTGCTGAGCTCAGCAGGTGAGAAGACCTGACTGCTGGCTTTACTCTGGGGTTTTCACAGCCCTCACACATGGATGCAGGCAGGAGCAGGATGACCATGGGCTCCTGTGGAACCTGGGGTGCTTCTGCAAAAATCCCACCATGCAGCTTGCCAGCAAGGGATGCAAGGTTTGTGTTCAGGGTCCCTGCTGCTTCCAGCTCCTCTCAGGGAGGAGATTATCAAAGTCACCGGCTTCCATTTTTTCCTTCCCTTGTATTTGTAACTGGTGTCAAAGTCTCCTCAGTCCATGGGGGGATATCTCTTTCCCTTAACTGTTTTCCCAGTGACCCTCATGATCTGCCACCTTGGGTTTGCAACTGAGGCCCTGTTCAGTCAAGGTTTGCAGGTGAAGAAGGATTTTAACATCAAAACCAGGTTTATCAAACCATGATCCACTTTCTAATAATTTAATTGTCAGTTGCTCTAGCATTTGGGACACTTTATTGTCCAAACATGTCATAGAATTATGGAATGGTTTGGCTTAGCAGGGACCTTAAAGCCCATCCAGTCCCACCCCTGCCCTGGGCAGGGACACCTTCCACCGGCCCAGGTTGCTCCAAGCCCCGTCCAACCTGGCCTTGGACACTCCCAGGGATCCAGGGGCAGCCACAGCTTCTCTGGGCAGCCTGTGCCAGGGCCTCCCCACCCAGTTAAGAGACAAAAAGAGCCCTTTGTGGAGGCTTAGATGCATAATTCAGAAAAGCAAAATAAAGCATTGGCTTGGGGTGGCATCTGAGGCACTGCCTGTCCTCCGGCTCACGGGAGGCTCAGTTCAGCATCCCTGTGTTCCAGCAGGTTTTGTGCCAGTTTCCCTAAGGAGATGGTACATCCTAAGCCTGGCTAGAGCTGAGCAGGGCCAAAAGAAGAGCAGAGGAGAGCAGGAACACCCAAATAGCATGAGGGTGTCTGTTCCCTGCAGCCCAAAGACAGCCCCCACCATGGCTGAGCACAGCAGCGGTGCCTGCAAAGAGAGGCCAGCACAGGCACCACACAGCTCAGGGGCTGAGGGGACAGCTCATCCCTTCATCAGTAGCAGCTCCTTGGATCAGTGGAATACCTGGATATGTGACAAATGCCATTTTCTGGGAGAGACTCTGAGCATGCCCAAATTTCACGTCTCTGTTCCCCAAGGCTTTTGGAAACAAATGGCAAGTATTTTTCTCCTGATGTTTTTTAACAATCACATGCCTGGAACTGACAGGAAAGACCAAGCATACTATTTTTAATTTTTATTTTTTTTTAGCATTTCATGGATGTAAAAATCCCAGGGTGATGACTCAGGACACAAGAGGAATATCATTTCCTGCTGGACACAGAGTATCAGAGCCCAGGGCCCTGCCAGCATGTTGATGGTGATGACTCGAGCTGTGAGGAGCCTTGGACACGGCCAGACTCCCCTAGCCCTGCCAGTGCCACTTGTCATCCTGACCTTATGTTCCAGTTTGAGGGCAAAGGGGCCTATTTTTCCTTTCTGTTAATTTTAAAGAGATAAATATTGTCAGTGAAGTGACCTCCTACCTCCATGGAAATCTTTGAGTTTGAGGCTGAACATGTGAAATTTAGCAGTAGCTCTTTGTTATTTATAGGCTGTTCATTGTTTTGCTTAGCATGAGGTTATGCTGTGTGCCTTCAAGCGTGGTTAATTAGCACAAGGTCAGCAAGCTTTGCAGAACAATGACATGAGTTTTTATTTTGCTAAAAAAAAATATTTTCTAAGGAAAAAACATGTTAGCAGCAGCGAATAGTGTCCAATGTTGAAACATGATTGAATATAGTCAGGAATAAAGCTTCCCAAATGCATATTTTTGTTTGAACAGTCATCTGTTCAAAGGTAATTCTGGCCCCACTGAATTTGCCAGGGCTTGGGTCTGGATTCCACCCTGACTGATAGAACTCCCAGACCTGCACTTTTATCACCCAGTACATGTGTCATGGTCAACAAGAGATGGACATCCACAAGGGAGAAATTATGTTCCCATAACAGCAGATCCAAGGAGGACCCAAATGAGCAGCGCTGACCAAAAATAGGCTGTGATAAAGAAAATTGGCTTGAAATTGAGACCCTTCCTAGAACTGTCCAAAGCTTTTTATTTTCCCCATGGTGACTGCAGGACTAATAGGACACATGTCCATTAGTCTGACAGAGGTTATTGTAATGAATAATAATGGATTTGACAGCAACCCCGAGGTAACTCAGTGACTCTGATGCTGCTTCCTGGATCTCCCATGTTTGGCTTTTATCCTCCCTGATTTCTATCTTCTGCCACACACAGGAAATAAAAAATGATTGGGACAATGCTTTATGAAAAAAAAATATAATGGAAATGAAACTGTGAACAAGATTTCTGTTTGGGAAAGACTTTGCTTAAGGCTCAGGGAAAGAAGCATGGTTATGGTGTCTCCTTGGAGACACAAGCTTTGTCCCAAACCTCAGCCAAAAAGGCTGTGAAAGCACATCCATGTGCTACAGAAAGGTGTTTACAACTCCTTTCAATAGTCACAATGATGTTTTCAGCTGAGGTGACCAGCTCATGGAACAGCTGAGGTTGGGGATCTCTCCAGGAGCTCTGAAGATGTCTAATCCAACCCTCCTCAAAGATGGACCAGCCAGAGTAGCTCTTCCAGCTCTGCATCCAGGCAGTGCTTGAATTTCTCCAAGGACAGATAATCCACAACCTCTCCTGACAACCTGCTGCCTTGTTCATCCACTTTCACAACAAATAAGCTTTTCTTATGTTTAGATGGAATTTCATATGTTTCAGTTTGTGCCTGTTGTCTCCTGTCCTGGCACCACTGAGAAAAACCTGGCTCCATCTTTACCCCTTTCCACCTATTTTTAGGTAGGATGGAGATAAGTGAAGTATCCTCACTGAAGATGAACATGAAGGTTGAACCTAAGGAGGATTTATGTGGAGAACCAAAGCACAGTTTGCTAAAATGGGAGCTCTAACTGTGCTTTGGATCTCATCTGTGACTCCACAAGAGCATCGTCTTTTATGTCAGAGGGAAGCACAAAAGCCTGTTTGGAAGATCATTGGAAATAACTGTACTGGCGAGCCAAAATCTGCTTCTCTTTCCCCTGGAAAAAGCAAGAGCTGCTTTACTTGAGTTTGGATTCACCCCAAAGCTGCCGCAGGAGGAGGCGATCCCGGGCTGTGGCTGGGGACAGGAGGTTCCTGTCACCACTCCAAGGGCAGGAGGGGCGTTCTTTTCAGCCAGAAAAAGGGGATTTGAGGGAGTGGATGCTTTCAGTGCCACGTGGAGCTGCCAGCACAGCCCTGGGGAGGTGCAGAGATGTGTGAGGAGAGACAGCAGAAAGCAGAGCTCTGCAGGGACTCCTGCCAGAGACTGGGTGGAAGCAGTAGGGGCTGCTGGCTCTTCCCAGGCTGAGCCCATGGAGGGATGGCACAGCTTGGTAAATGCCTGCAGACACACTACGAGCGTGGGCAGCAGTGTGGGAGGGAAACAAGAGCCTTTTTTGTGGGTACCAGATAGAGAGCTGATGGTAGGCTGCAATATCTGGTCAGGCAGAGCTCAGAGCAAATGCCTGCTTGCATAGTGTCCTGTTGCCTCCAGGGATGACAGTGTCTCCATCCATCACTTTCTGAGTTCTGCAGGATTAAGAGATGCTCCTGGTGAAGGAGATTGGACCAGCTGGGTGCTACTTACTGTGCTTTGATGGTTTTAGTCAGTGTGCCAGGGTGAGAAGGAAGAAAGGGACCCAGGAAACTCAACTGCTGTGAATTTTGCATGGACCTCTGTGTTCAGGTGAGCAGTCCTAATCATTCTGGATTTCCATTTCACTGGGAGGAAAAACGTTTGGGTCTGAGATAGCTCTGGGTAGTATTTTATCTCCTGGGGGGTTGTTTTCTCTTTGACATGGGGGGGAAGTTCTGTACTCTTAAGTGACACGCCTTGTTATAAACATAGGTTGGAGCTCCGTATGTTATAGAAAATGTTCCCTCAGCTAGGACACACAGAAAGCATGGTGTGCAGTTCCTGCTAGACCACTAACAGGAATGCTCATTTGAGTTGTCACAACATCAAGCTTTGAGCAAAGGCTGGAGTGTTTGAAGCCCAGGGATCCGGTCTTCCAGCTGGCTGTAACGAGGAACACCTTCCCAGAGATGATTAGCAGTCTTATGTCTTCCAGATTCACCTTCTTAGCAGGCTCATCTTTGAAAGAGCCTCCACAGTGAACCATGATTAGCAAACAGACAAGGAAAACATGAACAGATGGATGCTCAGGGTGACGCTGGGTGGGAGACAGTCAGTGTGACGGAGCTCCTCCAGAAGGGCTCTTGGGTAACAAGTTCAAAGCCATAATCTCCATGGAGGTAGTTTTCCTTGTGGAATCAAGGAGTGATGGGGGTACCCTGATGGGGTACACCCCAATGGATGGTCACTGAAGCACAACTTGAGCTCAGGTACTTGGTGTCAAGCATCCAGATTTGAATTCTGGTTTTGTGGGATCACTGAGCGCCGTAAACGTGAGCAAACTGGTTACAGAACACAGGAATTAAATGGATTTAAATCACTTTGATTTCCATGAGGGGAAAAGATTTCAGAGTTGCACCCTGGTTTTTGTCATTTTTGAACCTTTGCATGAAGAAATAAATTCTAAGCACAGACTTGGGCTTGTTTGGCTTTTTCGAGTCAAATTCCACATCAGTGGTAGTCCTGTAAAGTCTTTCCCCCTACCTACATTAAAGGCTACAAATAATTTCTAAAAGTGTTGGTATTTTCACAAAAATTAATTGTTTAACTTCTGCATTAACAGACAAAACCCCTCAAGCAGAGTCACTCTCTGGTACAACCACTCACCCCCTACCAATTCAATCTGTTGACTCAAGCTGGATCCCAGAGGTCCTTTGAAAACACACAGCATGCTACGGCATCCTCAAAGTTCAGATAGCTCTGAGGTGGCTGTTCTTGCCCTCTGAAGACTGAAACACAGCACAACATGTACCAGCTTGGGATGTACCAGAGTAGGTCTGTACCAGAAAAATATGTTACTTGCTTCTATGACAACACTGGGGACATGCAAGAAATGAGACACTGCACATCCCGCACATGAAAGAGATGCAGGAACCGCCTGCAGTGACCATGAAGCCCTCTCATCAATTCATGTTCTTGTTTATGCTCCTGTGTGCATGACTCAGGTGTCTCGGTGCAGAGCACCACAGTCTGACATCTCCCACCGTGACCCTCAACGGCAAGTCTTGAGCTGACTGCAGCTCAGCTGCCTCGGGTCGAAATTTTAGGAGTCCTGAGGTGTAGGGAGGCTGGGAGGAATGAACTGGTGGCTGAGGAAGGCTGTTGGCAATCCTGTCTTCTGCTCTCCTGTTTATACAGGAAAGAAGACAACATCCCACTCTGTATACAAGATTATCTGTCCATGGTCTGGTGCTTCAAAGTTTAAATACTGTCTCTGCCAAGGGTGGTCCTAAAAGCAAAGTCCACTTTCTGGGCATCCCCAACTGGAATACAGGGTGTGGAGTTTGGGGTTTTTCTCTTTTCCCCCCTCTGTCAGGGTGCTCTGAAGATAAAATGACTTGCTTGAACCTTATGTACTACGAGAACAGCATGAGGGTGAGAACAACATGCGGTGGGATTTTTGTGCCCATGGAAAGTTTTCTGGGCCTGGCTTTGTGCAAAAAACGTCTGCAATTTTCCTGAGCTCCTCAGGTGATCTCAGTGTTAGGTCAGGGAGGCAAAACATCACTTTTACCTCAACATCATGGATCCCAGGCCCCCACAAATGCCCCACAAACTCACCAGACAGCTTGGGGTTTCCCACCCTGAGGGTGTGGTAGCAGACACAACTAGCTTAGGTGGCAGGAGATGGCATTCCCAGGCTGCCTGGACCAGGGAACTTAGCAGGGGTGCCAAGGGCAGACCAGACTTGAGGTGCTGCCAGATGGCCCTAGAACTGCTCCACCTGGGACCACACATTCCCTTGCCCACAGGTCTAGGGGCCCCTGGAAGCCCACAGAGCTTCATGGGAGCCACGGGTTTCAGAGTGCTTGGCTCAAGGGCTTGAGATGGCTCAGTTGATGTCGGGGAGCAGCAGGAGACTGCCCCAGGAGAGGACACGAGCCAAGAGCCCAGGGTACCACACTGACCACCCGTACCTCAGGGAGGTGACCACGCTGGTTTGCAGCAGCCCCACGATCTTGCAGGGCAGCAGCAGCAGGTCCAGGCTGAGGTCGGTGCAGGAAGGACAGACAACAAGTCAGTCAGGAGCACAACCCAAGGCATAGCTCAGCTGTGGCCTGGGGGCGCCTGGGCAGCCAGGGGTGAGGCCCAGGGGAGAGTGATCAGGGGAGAGTGATGGGGCAGTCAAGGCCCATTAATGTCCTCAGTCCCACCTGTGGAGGAGTGAGAGAAGGATGACTCCAGGTGTGACTCCAGGGGTAACTGAAGCCTTTACCTACACACCTGCACACAAGAGGTGTCAGTAGGAATTAAAGCTGGAGTCTCACAAGAAACACTGTGCTTTCCTGGCTGGAGCCTGTCTCATCAGTTCAAAGGACTAGAAGCTGCCTGCTGCCCTGAAGGGGAGCGAGTGGCTCCCTTGGGCTGACTCATCACCTCTGCTGCAGCCCTCCAGGAGCTCTCAAGATGGGGAGGTTTGAAGGTAATGTGCTTAAGCAGCTTTCTGCTTAGTCAGTGGTACAAGTGAAGGTTTTGTTTGCTGTCATTGTATGCCTTCTCCTTAGTTCTCTTGTTCCAACCTTACTTGAGCCAGTAGGAGTGGTGGGAGAAGCTTCCTTAATAATGTCAGCTCGTAATTGTGAGCTTGGCATCTGGTGGATCAGAGGGGATGAAATCATTTGCGCTGCTGTCTGCACAAGGCTGGAAGCAATGCAGAGGAGGCAGCTTTAATTAAAACCAGCCACCATAGATCATAAAGCAGCCTTATCAGCTTGCAGGCGCAGCACACCGCGCTCCGGAGAGCACCGGGCTCTGGGAAACAGAGATGGCCCACAGCAGGAGCTGGAATAACAAGCAAGGAACAGTGATATCTGCTGCAAAGCAACCCTATCAACCCTGCTCCTGGCTTTTTCTCGTGAGAAAGAGACCCCTAAAGCCATCCAACTCCACCGTGTGGACGTTGGCACCGTGCAGCAAGGGTGAGTCCGTGCTTCTGGGACCACGTTGCAGGACAGCTGCTTTGTCCTGTGGACCACTGTGTGTTGGGTACCAGAAATCCTGAAGGCTCAGCTTCTCCTACCCAGTTTGTATGACATCTGAAAGTCTTCTAGACTCCTGGGGATCTGAAGTGGTGCAGCAGTGGATATAAAAATATTTTGTATACGTATAAAAAAAATATTTGCATCCCATCCCTAGAAGTGTTCAAAGGTCAGGTTGGATGGGGCTTGGAGCAACCAGTTGCTGGGAAGTTTCTTTGTCCATGGCAGGGAGTGGAACTAGATGATCTTTAGGATCCCTTCCAACCCAAACCTTTCTGTGATTCTATGATTCCCTGATTTTCTAGTGCATAAAAAATATTCATGCAGCAGTACACACAAAAAAAATCTCTGCGCTGATTGTGCTGAAAGAGAACATCCAATAGTGTAAACCAATACCTATAAATCACTGTTCTAATAGGTGAAGCAGCACACTTAAAGCAATGTGTGCTCCAGGCTATGCCAGGCTGAAGGTCTGCATCCTGCCCCTGACCGTGGATTTGCATCACTGGGATCTGACCTGGTGCCCAGCGAAGCTCAAACTGGGAATATGCCTTTGCTTTTCATTAAAGGTTTGGATTTGCTGAAAACAGCTAGATGTATTATTCATGAGTAGCTCGTGTAGAAGTCACAGACCCATTTTCCTGGACTGCATTCAATGGAACAGATTTCCATGGAGCACGGCAATGGGGTTGAAAGGCTCGTGTGAAACTTCTCTTAGCTATGAGCAAAGAAAGTCATAGAAGTCTCAATCCACAAGAGACTACAGAACTATGGAGTTCACTGCCTCCAAGAATTTGAAAATCATGAGTCAGGCCTCAGTCATAACTTTTTTTTTTTTTTTCTGCTTTAAATACAAAGAAACCTCGGGGTCTTTATTTGCTTACTGGTTTGTGAACATTGAGTTCTTGTTCTCAAACACCCAGGCCCTCATAGTCTGGAAATAACTCTATTTCTAAATGAAATTCTCTTGCAGTAGCAATCCTAGAGAAGTTAACTGCATGTTTCATAACTTTTTTGGAGTGAACTGAACGCTCCTACAGGCTAATGCTACCACCTAACATGGACCTTCTTCAACGTGGACTTATGTGTAGTGCATCTTATCACCTCCAAGGTTAGGAACTGGTAGCTGGTTTTAAAAATCTCCCAAACTGAGCTTCCTAAACCAAGCAAGGCATGTCTGAGGGAAGAGCTGCATGAAGCTGTGGACACCTCATCCCTGGAAGTGTTCAAAGCCAGGTTGGATGAGGCTTGGAGCAACATGGTCTAGTGGAAGGTGTCCTTTCCCATGACAGGGGATGGGGCTGGATGAGCTTTAAAATTCCTTCCAACTGAAACCATTCTGGGATTCTATGGTTCTGTGAATGTCTCCAATAATGGCTGTGAAAAAGGATGTTTCTTGCCTCCTGCTTGTTCCGGAGGAGCCGGAGCTCACACGGTCCACGCTGGCAGCAGGGGCAGAGCAGCTGACAAAGCACAGAGTGCCCTCTGCTCTTGCTTTGGGACGACACAAAGAGATTATTTTAATCTTAGGTCTGAACTCCTGCCAAGCTTTATTTAAAATTATATATATAT